TGATGCATTTTGGTAGAAAGAATGTTGGAAGACAACATAAAATAGGAGGTACAATTCTAAAAGGGGTGCAGAAGCAGAGAGATCTGGGTGTATATTTGCACAGATCACTAATAATCACAGATCAGGACAGGTGAAGATGGAAGCTAATATAGCATACAGTATCCTTGACGTTATTATTAACAGCATAAAGTACAAGGAGATGATGCTGAATTTGTATAATACACTTGTTAAATCTCAGCTAGAGTATTACGTACAGTTGTGGGCACCACATTGTATGAAAGGTGTGAATGCATTGGAGAGAGTGCAAAAACAATTTATTACAAGAATGGTTCCACAATTGAGAAACTTCAGTTATGAGGATAGATTGAAGGAGTTGGGACTGTTCTTCTTCGAGGAAAGAACACAAAGAGGAGATTTGATAGACTTATTTTGATAGATTATTGCAGCTTGGACAAGTAGAGGAGAAATTGTTCCTGCTTGTAAAAGGAACAAGAACAGGAGGGCATAGATTTAAAGCGATATGCGAAAGAAGCAAGGATGATGTGACAAAAACCTTTTTCACACTGTGTGTAGTTAGGGTGTGGAGTGCACTGCCTGGAAATGTGGTGGAGGCAAGTTCATCTGAGGGATAGAAACAGGGTGCAAAGGTAGGGAAAAAGGCACGATAATACCAGGTAATGATCCATGTTGGAAGCGCTAGTGCAGGCAAAGTGGGGCCGAATGGCTTATTTCTGCATCATAGCAATTCTGTGATTCTATGTACGTGTGTATGAGATTGTAATATGTACATTGGAGTATGGGGGTGTATGTATATGTTGGTATATGTGCACCAGTGTGCATGTGTGTCTAACCCATTTCTTTAAGGAAAAACAGTAAGCACAGTAAAACTTGGAAATGACGGTGTTACTCCAAACTGAATTTCCATATTATGGTATATGAAATAGCTTTAGACCAGTACAGTAATTTACAAGGTTTACAGTTGTTTTCCTTATATCCCACAATTCTGAATAAGGCCTTACATCTGAAAAGGATTTAATTCATTCACTGCATATGGTTGCTAATTGATCTGCTGAGAGATTCCAGAATTTTCTGTTCAAAGCTCAAATTTCCAGCTTCTTCTACATCTGGTTATTAAACGTGCTTTGCCACTGCATAATTCCCTTAGCTTGTTAACAGCTTTCAAATTCTTCAGCTAGCAACGCCTTTGTCCCCAGGGATTAATCTCCCCACAGCCATGTCCAGTCACTGAATTCAAATCATGTGATGCAGAGAAACAAAGTTGCGGAAAAACACAGGGTGTGTGGGGAATATTGAGAAATAAGGAGTAAAATATTGTGGAAAGGAAGAACGAGCAGACATTATACTTCGCTAAGATATAACACAATGGAGTCTCTCACAAAGTGCAATTGCTGTTGATGTTTTACAGTGGCCAAGTGAACAGCAGGGCAAACAGAAAATGAGTAACCAGAATCCACCAAAAACTAAAATCCAACGGTATTCACCAGCAGCGGAAGATCTCAGGCAAACTAGCTGATACCACATGCTTAGTTCCAGAGTCACAGATAAATCCTTGGGAAGGCAGACAGCCCGAGTAACCAGCTTCATGGGCTGCATCAGCATGGATGATTGTTGTTGATGTGGACGGCCCACCTTGCTCAGTCTACAAAATGATCCCATAGTGCAAGAACTCTTCACGTCCTCTGGATTATACAGGGAAGGAAACAAATATGTTATCAAGCCTTCAGTAAGTATTTAAAGAACTGCTAGTCTCTCTTACTGTGATAATGTGGCTCTACTTGTTTCACACCAGTCACAAGACTGATTTAGATGATGACCTTTGACACATTTGACTTAATTTAACATAATAGTAAATATATTAGCATCACATTACAGCATCTACTTAGGGCTTTTGCAGCACAGTGGTAATGTCCCTACCTCTGGGCCTAAAGGACTGGGTCCAAGTCCCATCTGCCCCAGAGATGTGTCATAACATGCCTGAGCAGGTTGCTGAAAATAACTACAGCATCTACCTGATGTTAAATGAATCCAGTTCTCCATAGCCACTGCATGACTATCTGCCAGTCACCCTCAATGTAAAATAATTTGTTTCCTTCTTATTCATTCATGGGATATGGGAGTCACTAGTCATTTATTGCCCATCTCTTTATTGCTCAGAGGGAGTCTAAGAGTCAACCACATTGCTGTGAGATCTGAAATGACATTAGGGAGGTCAGGTAAGAATGGCAGACAGTCTTTCCTGAAAGGAAATTAGTGATTCATACCGGCTTTAAGACAATCGGAATGGCTGTGGTTGTCATGAGGCCATTTTTTTAAATTCCAGATTTTTGCTGAATTCAAATCTCCCCATCTTTATTGTCCTGCTGAGTTTGAGTAACCATCTTAGATTTGTTTTGCCTATCTCCTTCTATGAAGCCATGTTATTTTGAGACTTCAAAGTCATAAATGGCAGATGGAGTTCAATCTGGATAAATGCGAGGTATTGCATTTTGGTACAACAAACAAGGATAGGACTTATACAATTAATGGTAGAGCCTTGGGTAGTGTTGTAGCACAGAGGAACCTAAGGGTGCAGGTACGTAATTCTTTGAAGTTTGTGTCACATGGTGGTTTAAAAAGGCGTTTAGCACGTTTGCCTTCATTACTCAGTCCTTTGAGTATAGGAGTTAGGAAGTCATGTCAGTCCTTTGAGTATAAGAGTTAGGATGTCATGTTGAGGTTATACAGGACATGGGGCGGGGGGCCTCTTCTGGAATATACTGTGTCCAGTTCTGGTTGCCCTGTTATAGGAAGGATATTATTAAGCTGGAGAGGGTTGAGATTTACCTGTTGTTTCATATTGATTTAGATACCTGTTGCTAGGTATGGAGGGTTTGAGTTATAGGGAAAGGCTGGACTTCTTTCACTGGAGTGTAGGAGGTTGAAAGGGGGTCTTATAGAAGTTTATAAAATAATAAGGGATATAGATAGGGTTAATGGTGGTTGTCATTCTTCCTAGCTCGGGGGAGTTCAAGACAATGGGACACATTTTTAAGGAGGGGGAGAGAGATTTAAAAAAGACATGAGGGGCAAATTTTTTACACAGAAGATGGTTCAAATGTGGAATGAACTTCCTGAGGAAGTGGTGTATGTGAGTATAATTACAACATTTAAAACACATTTGGATAAGTACATGAACAGGAAAGGTTTAGAGGGATATTGGCCAGGAGCACGCAGGTGGGACTAGTTTTGATTGGGATTACGTTTGGCATGAACTGGTTGGACCAAAGGGTCTGTTTCCATGCTGTATGACTCTATCAAATATCTCCTTATAGATCACTGGTCCTGGACCAGAAATCTGAATTATTGACCTTCCCAGCCACAGCTCTGTTTTAAACGATCTTGTTATGTTATTTTTTAATGTTGTTTCATATTGATTTAGACACACCGAGCATTAATTTTTTTGAACCCCCATGAAATATTTACATCAATGCACTGAGAAAGCATAGATGCTGATGGGTCAAAATGTTAATGTTGTGTTAGACCAAACAAAATCCATTGGTTTGTGCTTGGAAAGTGCAGCTTGGGATTGTCCAGATGTTTGGAAAGTGACAGTTGCTAGCGAATGCCTTAGAATACACCGTGATATTTATCATGAGATAACAAGGTGTAAAGTTGGATGATCACAGCAGGCCAAGCAGCATCAGAGGAGCAGGAAAGCTGAAGTTTCGGGCCTAGACCCTTCTTCAGAAAAGGATATTTATCATGTTGGGGATTGCTACTTACATTAATATGGCCCATTTCACAAACTTGGCATTACAACATGAGTAAAACAGTAGTCACTGTACAGTAACAAACGTAGCAGTTCATTTACTTGAAGTTCCCATTAAATGCAGAGGTAATCACTAGGTAATCTCTGATAAAGTTTGTCAATCGGAACGTTAGATCTATTTATATCTATCCACAGATTCCTTGCTGAATGTTTCTAAGTAATTGTTTTCATGAATAGCCGTACACTTTGTTCTTTGTTGATGGAGAGTGGAATATTGGCCGGGGCACAGAGACCCACTGTTATGTCCTAACTGACGCTGTGTCACACAGCAGAGAAGGCAGGCTGTCAGTTTAACACGAGCAATACGGTTATTTCGAAGGTGTCAGTTTGGATTCTAGAAATGAAGTTTGGGGGCGGCACGGTGTCTCTCAGTGGGTAGCTATGCTCCCTCAGCGAACATAGGTTTGATTGCACCCTTGGGTGACTGTGTGGAGTTTGCACATTCTCCCCGCGTCTGCGTGGGTTTCCTCCGGATTCCTCCCACAGACCAAAGGCGTGCAGGTTAGGGTGGATTGTCCATGCTCAATTGCCCATAGTATCCAGAGGGATACGCAGGCTAGGGGTCTAGGCCCGAAACGTCAGCCTTTCTGCTCCAATGATGCTGCTTGGCCTGCTGTGTTCATCCAGCTCTGCACCTTGTTGTCTCGGATACGCAGGCTAGGTGGGTTACCTCACAGCAAATGGGGGGATAAGGTGGGTCTGAGTGGCATGCACTTCCGACGGGTCAGTGTAGACTCGACGGGCTGAATGGCTTGATTCTATTCGAAGATTCTATGAAGTCTCTGGAAGGCGAGGATGAAGCCAGCCCTCAGAAATCAAAGACACCACATAATGAACTCCCTCCTCCACAACTCTGAGACAGTGAACCCCCAACCCCGACCACCTCCCCCACAACACAGCTCAGAGCGAAGACCCCCATTCTGAAGAACGATCACCAGAGCCGTTAACTCTGACTTCTTTCTACAATGCTGCCAGACTTGCTGAGACTCTCCAGCAATTTCATGGTTTTGTTTCAGATTTCCAGCATCCGCAGTTCGTTCGTTTTTTTTGTGAACACTCCGCCCTCCGAAACGGGGTGGGGAGGGAGACTGGACAGGAGCTCCGCCCAGGTTTGTGATTGACATCGGTTCCTGACCAATCAGACACGGGGTCAGATTGCAGTCCCCGCCCAGGAGGTGGCTCGAGCCTTGGAGAGGATTGAAAAGAGCAACGGCCGGAGCGCGCGAAGCAGGTTCTGGAAGTTTCCAGTGGTTATCAGCACACAATGTCGATCATCCTGTACACTGGAGCGGCTATGCCCAAGATCGGTCTGGGCACATGGAAGGTGAGGGATAAGAGGCCGGCTCCCATTCACGTGGTGGCCTCCTTCCCTCCCTCTGTGTCAGCTCCATCCGAGCACAGGAGCATCCCCTCCAGCGGAGTGTGGCAGCGACTGGAAATTGGGCAAAGTGGGGTGGGGGATGATGCTGGGCAGAGGGAGCGGGCGCTCCGTGGGGGGTTGTTTTGGGTGGGGAAGCTGGACGGGGGGAGTGGGAGCTGAGTAGGGAGGATAGGGGGGTGCGGGCCTGGAGTGGGAGCTGAGCAGGGAGGAAGAGGGAGTGCGGGAGCCTGCGGCTCTGGCAGTTGGGGAGAGTGTATTGTGGGTGGATGATTGGCTATTAAGACTGCAGATGAATATGGGCAAGAGGACATGCAGAACATTGTTGGGTGTTAGTGAGTAGGTTTCATTTGTTGCATGATTTATGAAGAATTGTAATGTGAGGAATGACTTGGTAAATGGGTTGCATATAGTTTTCTCCAGAGTTGTGTGGTTGGGTGGGGTCGTTCTCAAATGTGACTAAAATGACAACAAATGAAAAGACTAGGAATAGGTTTTCCAAGGGTTTGGATGGGTGTTCTAGTGGTTAGGACCCTGACTGAATGCTTTAAAACTGGGGGGCTTGCAAAGGAAACTGGCCAATTCAATTCTGCGCACTGAACTCGGACAAAATTCTTATGCAAAATGTTGCTTTTCATTTGATGTGCATGCCTTTGTGTGTTTTAAGTTTTTACAAATTTCATGTGGAAAATTTTTAAATGAACAATCTGATAATGTAGTGAGGAGGATAGTATTTGAGACTTGTACATTGCTCGAGATACCAAATTCTAACGATCATAAAATGGTGTGATATTAATGATAGAACTGAGAAAGTATTAGTGGGTGAATGCACTATTAAATTATGTATATGATGTGGAAATAAAGATTGGATTAAGAGACAAATGGCAAAATGAAAATAGAAGATTTTCATACTTCTAACATCTCTAACAATTAACACCTAAAGAAACCAGTTTCTGTTGTAGTAATTGTCAGTATCAATGAGGTTCATTTGCTTGAATGAATAGTTGTCCTGTTCAAGTGGTACTTGCACTGGGATTTACAAGACCTCTTGTGGTAAATTTAAGACAGTAGTGAAAGTAATGATATTACAAGAATTGGAATTGATAGTATCCGGAACACATTGGATATAGTATTTGAAGCTGGAGCTGTGTATGAAGAAACCTAAAAAAGAGGTAGGAGTAGGCCATTCAGCCCTTGAACCTGCCTCCTCCATTTAGGATGCATTTGATTGATCATCTAATTCAGTACCCTGTTCTTGCTTTCTCCCTATGCTCTGATTCTTTTTAGCCCTAAGAACTATATCTAACTCCTTGAAAACAATCTAATGTTTTGACTTCAGCCACTTTGTCAGAATTCCACAGTCTCATTCCTCTCTGGGTGAAGGAATTTCTTCTCATCTCAGTAATAAATGGCTTATCCTGCATTCATAGGCTGTGACCCCAGTCATTGGGAATGTCCTTTGTGTTTGCCTTGTCTAGTCCTGTTAGATATTTCTAGTTGTCTTTGGTATTCCTTTCATTCTTCTAACTGCTCAAGTTTGTCTTCATACATCAGCCCTGCCATCCCAGGAATCCAGCTGGTACTTTGATTTTATTTATCCTGACGAAGCAGGCTGGAATGGTGTAACAAGGGAGTGGAATTCATTGGTAGCTAAACATGTATCTTGGTCATTCTGATACAGCTACAGAATACTGCAGTTACTAGAAATCCTGAAATAAGAACAAAACTGTGCTGGATATTTTCAGCAGATTAGGCTAAATCTTTACGTGAGTGCAAAGGACTATCAGATCATCATCTTGCAATGTAAATTCTGTTCCCCTTCATAGGTGGAGATAGTGGAATAATTCCAACACTTTCTGCTTTTAATTTCACCCTCTTTGGATCAGTTGGGGGGAGGGGGGAGAAAAATCTAACTTGTTTGTTTTTAGATTTACAGCCCATGTGTAGGTGGGAGAGCTGAAAGTGACCATTGAATTGTAGGAAATTAATCCTGAGGGATCTGTTTAAGGAAAGGACCAAGGATATAGATTTTCAGCCAATTCCAGATAAATTTCCTTGAAGCAGTTTTATCTAGCCATTGGCTTTCACACTGGCTTTACCATCCATTCCAGATATTCAAAACCGCCTTCAAAATAGCAACAACCAGTATGTCTTGGGCTTTAAAGGAGCAAGAGATAGGTCAGTTTGAAAACTTGGTAAATTAATAACTTGTATTCATTTGGTAAATGAATCTGAAGGCACAATGTGACCCCGGTCATTTTTCTAACTTTTCTCGCTGAGAGAAAGAGAAAATCTATATTAGAATGATGCATTTGAGGGATAAATGTGTAGAGGTTAGGAATTATATCTTCAAAACAGGGTGCTTGCAATCAGGCTGAAATCGACATTGAGTGGGATGATGAGAATATACTTGAGACTAATGCAAAGCTGGAGAGTGGATGGCTGAGGTGGAGTGAAGCATTTGTGGAGATATGGCACTAACAATGCAAACTGAATAATTGAACATCTTTCAGAATTGTTCAAATGCATGTAGAGAAAAGAATGTATGGATAGATGAAGAGTAGGAGAAAGGTGGATTTACAAATGCTGACAGTGGTGTTTGGGCCAAAAGAGAGGTGGGCAAGTTTAACAGATCTTTCTGGACTGTAAGAAACAAACATACAGGGTGAAATAACTGCAGAGGCTGGTATCCCGTCATCAAGTCGCCCTTTATTTACTTGCGCAGAGTACACTGGGTGTGGCCAGCCAGCTCAGAGTCAGTCCCCAGAAGTGAGAACTTAATCCACTGATAGTATTGGTCAGCTATGCTCCTGATTGGGATTGTTAACCTGGGCCAATCAAGGATCTTGTCAACAAAATCCACCTGGTTCCAATCATTACATCTCCACCATGGGGACATAGACCCGGCCTTTCTTGTGTAGCTTTTCCTGTGACATTTGTGCCCCAGGTCCAGTTCCACTGACTCAGACTCTGACACGGGCGGCATCTACCAGACTGTGGCCTGTCTCTTGTATCTGGAACATCTCAGGATGTCCTCCAGTTCTGGTGGTAATGGTATCGAGGATGTATCTATCTTGGACTCAGAGGTCCCCTTGACACTAGACGGAGGGGAGAGCCTGTGGTTTTTGACGGGCCTTCTGGCTGTTCTGAGATGCCAGGTATGTTTTGCTCTTGTCCGATTTGCAGGGTTAACAGCTTTCAGGTGATCCGCATGTTTGTTCATCTGCATGAAGTTATGGAACCTGACCTTGCATCAACCTTACTTCATCCCATGAATTAAGTCCTCTCCCCCTTGTAGAGGAGGCATGTGGCCAGCATCGGCATTCCTGCTGGTAAACCCACCCCAGGTCTGGAAATATCAAGTTTAACCTGGTGTAGAGTCTTCTCTCCATCAGCAACATTGAAGTTATCCCTGTTATTAGGGGTGGTCCTATAATCAAACAGGAACTGGGACAGTTTGGTATCAAATGATGCTGTAAGCTGCTTCTAACATTTAGAATGCTCATTTTTGGTAGACCATTGGATGATAGATGGTACGGAGCTGTCTTTATTGCCTAATGCCATTCTAGTTTAGAAAATACTCAAATTCCCTGCTGGTAATTGACGTCCCATTGTCCCATGACCAATACTTATGGGAGTACGTGTATTGCAGACAATGTTCGTAGCTTCTCAGTCATCCCTGTGTTTGCCGAGTGAACTTTATGCACGTTCGACCATTTGAATGGGCATCTACAATGACCAGGAACATTGAGCCCATGAAAGGACTGGCATAGTTGACATGTAACTAAGTCCAGGGTTTACTTGGCCATTTCCACGAATGTGGCAATTTTTGTCCCTGCTGGCACTCTGGGCACTACTCAGCTGATACAACTTTGTCAGCATCCCACTCTCATTACCACTAAAATAACTGCACAGAGACTGGTACTCCATCACCAAGTCACAGTTTATTTACTTGTGCAGGGTACACTGGCTGTGGCTAGCCAGCTTGGAGTCAGTCCCCAGAACTGAGAAGATTCTAAATCCCCTATTAATTTGTCAGCCGGGCTTCCTGATTGCAGTTGTTACACAGGACCCAATCAAGGACCTCGTCAACAAGATCCACATGGTTCCAATCACTATGCAGGGCGATAATTCAGTGAAAATTTATGTCATGTATGGAATCTATACAGAGGTCTTTGATGTAGAGAAAATTGCATGTTTTCAGATGGTGGTGAAGTACGCCGAGTGTGAACAGGCATTATCCTGAGAAAGAGAGACCGTTGTAAAGTAATGGGAAGGATTAGTTTTAATCTTTCTGGTTTTGACAAATGCTTTGTTCAGTCCCCAAAAGGTCAAGTGGCTGAAGCAGTGAAGGAGGCCATTGCCACAGGATATCGTCACATTGATGGTGCATACGTTTATGAGAATGAGAAGGAAGTGGGTGAAGGCATAAACCAGAAGATTAAGGAAGGGATAGTAAAGCGTGAAGACCTTTTCATTGTCAGTAAGGTAAAATGGAGAGCTTTGAAAATTATTCACAAACTTAAACACTAATTCTCTCCTCCACAATGCACAATAGCGGCAGCATGTATGCACAAAATGCATTGCAGTAACTCCTGCCAATACTCTCCAAACAGTATCTTTCAAACTTGTGACCAATACTACCTGAAAGGATAAGGGTGGCAGGTGTAAAGATGGGCTGTTGGTATCGCTGGCTGGGCTAACATTTGTTGCCCATCCCTGAAGTTAGTTAAGTCAACCACATTTAATTTGGGTTTGGAGTCATATGTAGGCCAGACCAGTAAGGATGGCAATTTCCTTCACTAAAGGGACTTTGGTGATCCAGCTGTAGGTTTTTTTTTTTGGCAACAATTGATAATGGTTTCATGGTCACTATTAGACTGTTAATTAGACTTTTATTTTGCTGGGGCATCAGGTATCTGGGAATATGACCACTTGCAAGTACCCCTCTAAAACATACCCCATTCTGATTCAAATTATCTGGTCATCCTTCATTGATTACTTTCTCGTTTACAAAATTTTGTATTGGTAACCTTAACATTGCTGTGGGTGTACCTACACCCTATGAGCTGCACTGGTTCAAAAAATGGTTTGAATAGTAGTTGTAGAGTCACAGATGCACAGCACAGAAGCAGACCCTTCAGTCCACGGTGGCTCAGTGGTTAGCACTACTGCCTCGCAGCACCAGCGACCTGGGTTCGACTCCACCCATGGCAACTGTCTGTGTGGAATTTTCACATTCTCCGCGTGTCTGCGTGGGTTTCCTCCCACAGTCCAAAGATGTGCAGGTTAGGGTGGATTGGCCATGTTAAATTGCCCATTGTGCTCAGGGATGTGTAGATTAGGTGAATGGGTCTTTACTGAATCCTATCAAGTTTCACAACATCCTTCCTACAGCAGGGAGACCAGAATTGCACACATTATTCTGAAAGTGGCCTAACCAATGTACTGTGGAGCTGCAACATGACATCACAATTCCAGTAGTCCATGTACTGGCCAATGAAGAAAATCGTACCAAACACCTTTACTGTTCCTATCTCCCTGGAACTCCACTTTGAACAAACTATGAACCTGCACTCCGAGGTCTCTTCGTTCAGCAACACTCCCCAGGACCTTACACTTAATTGTATGTCCTGCCCAGACTTGCCTTCCAAAATGCAGCACCTCACATTTATCTAAATTAAATGCCATCTGCCATCCCTCAGGCCATTGGCCCATCTGATCAAGAACGCGTTATACTCTGAAGTAACCTTTTCGGTTGCCCACTACACTTCCAATTTTGATGTCATCTGCAAACTTAATAACTAAACCTCCTATTTTCACATCCATATCGCACATATAAATGACAAAAAGCAGTGAACCCAGTACTGATCCCCTTGGCACACTGCTGGCCACAGGCCTCCAGTCCGAGAGCAACCCTCCATCACTACTGTCTTTTACTTTTTAGCCAGTTCTGTATTCAAATGGCTAGTTCTACCTGTATTCCCATATGATCTAACCTTGCTAACCAGCCTACCATGAGGAACTTAGTCCATATAGATCACCTACACTGCACTGAATCCTCTTCATTACTACTTCAAAAAACTCAAATCAAGTTAGTGAGACGTGATTTCCCACACAAAAAACCATGTTGACCATCCCTAATCGGTCCCTTGCCTTTCCAAATACATGTAAACCTTGTCCCTCAGGATTCCTTTTGACAATTTTCCACCAACGTCAGGCTTACTGGTCTGTAGTTCCTGGCTTTTCTTTATCACCTTTCTTAAATAGTGGCACCATGTTAGCTAACCTCCAGTCTTCCAGCAGAGATGGGCAACAAATATCAGACTTGCTAGTGGCACCAAAATCCTACTAAACAATTTTTAAAAAGAGAAATGCATTTATTTTTAGAAGTGAAAAGAAAATTTATTTTACTTATCACCATTGAACTTCTGTCCATTTTTAACTCCAAAGTATCGACGTCTGTTAAGAGAAATTCCCTGCTTTAGAGAGAAAAATGAGTTGTCTGGGAGAAGATTAACAGAATAACTTATTTTTGATGCTTTGATCTTGACATTCTGTTAATAACTTCTGTTACTCCCTTAGCTCTGGTGCACCTTTCATGCAAAAGATAAAGTGAAGGAGGCATGTTCTAAAACCTTGTCTGACCTGAATCTGGAATATTTGGACCTCTATCTTATCCACTGGCCCATGGGATTCAAGGTAAAGCATCTGACCAGGATATATGTGTATGACATTGTCTGTGCCTCTTACCTTAATTAGACTTAGGTTATTTCTTCTGAAGTAATATTCTTTAACGCTCAAATATTCACTGGGTTGTTTATAATTTTGATTTAAAGGAACATTGGGCTGCTGGTGGGTGGAGTTTCTTCAACCTGTTTCAATTAAGGGGTACTCTAAGCATGTATTAAATCATGTTGGGTATTGTAACGTGTAAAATGAAAGCCAAACATCTTTCATTAACCAGCAGAACAGAGCCACAAAATTATTTTCCAACAAGAACCAACGTGTTAAGACTTAAACAAGAAAACCACTAGTAGCTTGACAGTATGATTGCTAACTATACATTATACACTGTTTTTAATAGTTTCTGTCCAAGAACTTTCTTCTTTTATATCTTAGTTATTTGCCTCTATCAGGACCATCCATAAGTATGCAACTATCTAATTATGATTACATTTAATTCTCCTCAGTTACAGCTATTTTCAGAGGTATAACTTCCATTCACTGTCCCTCGTGTAGATTCTTCTCCCTTGTTTGGTTCCAGGATTATTTATAGGCTGCTTTCCTTTGGCTGCAAGACTTTTTTTATATTAAAAAAAAACTAGATTTTCCTACCAGCTATAAACTAGCACAAATTTTCTAGTTTTTTTTTATTGTTCCCTCATGAAATCCATACTGAGGCTAAACCTCATTCTATATGGATGATGAAATTAGCATTATTTTAGTTTGACTGTCTTAACTGTTACTTTGCCTATCTTATGTCAGTGAGCTTCAAAATGCACACCAGGTCCAAGCTATCTAAAAATCTGAGCAAGTGCTCGGATAAATTGAAACTAAGGGGAGGCAATGACATAATGGAACTGGTAATCCTGATATCCAGACTAATGCTATAGGGATAATGACAGGTGGTGAAATTTGAGTTAAGTTTACAGAACATAAAAATTAGGAGCTAGTTTAATGTTAACCATGATTATTGTTATTGATTGTTATAAAGACTCATCTGGTTTACTAACATCCTACATGGAAGGAAAGTCTGCCAGCTTCTCTCCATCTGACTTGAATGTGACTCCAGATTGATTTTTAGTGGTGCTTTGAAATGGTCTAAGCAAATTTTTCCATTGTATCTTAATTGCTGCAAAGCCTCAAGGAATGAAACCTGACAGACCACCTAGAAAATGCACAGAAAAAGACAGCAACGTGCACAGCCTTGGTGATCCTGCACAATTCTTCATATTAACAGTTGGGGGCTTGAGCCTAAATTGGGGGAGCTATCCTACAGATTAATCCGGTGATAGCTTGACAGTTGAACTTGGGAATCATACCTTTCAGTGTTGCAGATGCTACTATTATCATCCGTGAGTGTGTCCTGTCTCTCCAGAGGTCTGTAGCATTGTGGTAGTCAGGAAGAAATTATCCAGGAGCTCCTCAACATTGCTGACAGACATCCTTTGATACTGAAGCATCAAGCTAAAAATGGATGGGGAGAATTCTGGTTACAACCTACTGTCCTCCATGTTGGAGGAAGCATTTCGGATGGTAACTTCATTGAATGTACTCTGGGAGGGAACTTCAGTGACTATCACAAAGTGGATGTGTATTGACACTAGTGAGCAAGGTGGCGAACTACCAAAGGGTCATACTGCACATGCGGCAGTTGAAGAAACATAATGTGTGAATAGAATAGATAGGGAGAAATGTGTCACGTGAAATGAAAGTGCCAAGATTTAAGATAATTGGCAAAAAAAGTAAAATGGTATGACGAAGTTTTCATGCGATGAATCTGCTTCCATTCAATCAAAGCATTCGGAAGGGAATTAGACTGTACCATTTCAAAGAACAATGTGTAGGGTTATGGGAGAAGGCAGGAGAATGGCCTTAAGTGAAATGCTCAGTTTGTGCAAACATGATGGGTTGAGTAACCACCTGTAACAGTTGCGATTTCTGACCTCCTAACCTACCAAAGAGACAGTACATTGAATTTGAAGACTCTTCAGGCATTATTTGCTGAGGAAACGGAGTGCAAGCTTGAGAGTTTGGTGAGTGGGAAACTTAATTTTTGCATGTTTCATTTTGCCTGTAATTAGCTGTTAGCTAGCTTGCTTGCTGCTTAGACAGGGTAAACGCTCTCTTCTGTGAGAGCTAAGTAGTTAATTAGCTAACTGGTTGAATCTGCCTTCTCTAGCCCATGATCAGTTGGCTGTAAAGGCAGGTTTCTTCAGTGCCGTCAAAGATAGTGAATTGCAGTTGAGGAATCCCAAGTGCAAACATGAGCTTGAAGGTCGGAAGAAAATTTGATTTCTCTTGCTTTTCTACCTTTTTGCTATGCAAGATTGGTACGTGTTCTCCTGCTGGGAAAGGACCTAGCTGTTTTGAGATTCTGGTAAATAGTGTGTTCTACTGTTACCTTTTAAAATAGTACACAAATTGATAGTAAAGTTTTTTTTTTTATATTAGCATCAGGTTCTAGCTCCTGGATACTATTGTCACCCAGGGCAAATCCATCTGAACTAAGTGTTTGAAGGCAAGCAGCTTCAACTCAGAATTTGAGCAGGAGGCTGAACTATCAACCACTGAATCAGGCAAGGTAAAGGTTACTTGGAATCTGTACCAGCAGACAGTCATGCCACCTTCGAATAAATCAATAGTCAGGGTCAGCAATATGTGATTATGAATGAGAACACAGTGTGGAGCTGGAGGAATACAGCAGGCCTGGCAGCATCAGAGGAGCAGGAAAGTTGACGTTTCAAATCAGGACTCTTCAGAAATGGAGAGGGGGCAGGGAGCTGGGAAATAAATAGAGGAGTGGAGCTGGGAAACATAAATTTGGATGGTGATAGGTGAGTGCAGGTAGGGAGTGGTGGGGATTGGTCAGTGGAATGGGTGGGATTGATAGCTGGGAGAGAAGATGGACAGGTTGTGTCAGGTCAAGGAGATGGGGCTGAGAGGGAGGGTTGGATGTGGGATGAGGCTGGAGGTGGGGAGATTTTAAAACTGGTAAATGCCATGTTTAGGCCATCAGGCTTTAGGCTCCAAGACAGAATATGAGGTGTTCCTCCTCCAGTTTGCGGGTGGTGTTATTGTGACAGTGGAGAAGGCCCAGGATGGACATCCCCCTGTGGGAGGGGGAGTTAACATGGTTGGCGCCTGGAAGGTGTCATTTCTCACGTGCAGATGCTCTACAAAACGGTCTGAGTCTATGCTTGGTCTCACCGATGTAGAGGAGGTCACGTCGGGAGCAGTAGTTACAGTAGACCGACAGATGTACAAGTGAACCTCTGATATGAAAGGTTTGTTTTGGGTCTTGAATGGAGGTGAGAGGGGAGATGTAAGAGCAGGTGAAGCACTTCCTACGGAAGGTTCCTACCTTCCCCAGCTCCGCCCTCCTCTGTATTTATTTCCCAGCTCCCTTCCCCCTCCCTATTTGAACAAGAACAAAGAAAATTACAGCACAGGAACAGGCCCTTCTGCCCTCCAAGCCTGCACCGACCAGCTGCCCGTCACAACTAAAACCCCCTAAGCCTTCCGGGGACTGTGTCCCTCTATTCACATCCCATTCATGCATTTGTCAAGATGCCCTTTAACAGTCACTATTGTATCTGCTTCCACTACCTCCCGCAGCAGTGAGTTCCAGGCACCCACCACCCTCTGTTTTTTAAAAAAAAACTTGCCTCCTACATTACCTTTAAACCTCGCCCCTTGCACCTTAAACTGATGGTCCTAGGGGGATAAAGCTTCTCCCTATCAGTATTCTGAAGGGTCCTGCCATTTACTGTATATTTTCCATCTGGATTAGGCCTTCAAAAATGCATTGCGTCACATTTTTACAGATTAAACTCCATCTGCCGTCTCGCTGCCCAAGTCACTAACCGATCTATATCCAGCTGTATCCTTTGACGGTCCTCATTACTATCCACAATTCCACCAATCTTTGTGTCATCAGCAAACTTACTAATCAGACTAGTCACATTTTTCCTCCAATTCATTTATATATACAAATAGCAAATGTCCCAACACTGATCCCTGAGGAACGCCAGTAGTCAGAGCCCTCCATTCAGAAACGCACCCTTCCACTGTTACCCTCTGTCTTCTATGACCGAGGCAGTTTTTATCCATGTTGCAGGCTCGCCTCTGACCCCGTGCAACTTTCCCTTCTGTACCGGCTTGCCATGAGCGACCTTGTCAAAGGCCTTACTGAAGCCCATGTAAGCTGTAAGAAGACAGAGGGTGGTGGTTGATGGGAAATGTTCATCTTGGAGTTCAGTTACTAGTGGTGTACCTCAAGGATCTGTTTTGGGGTCACTGCTGTTTGTCATTTTTATAAATGACCTGGATGAGGGCGTAGAAGGATGGGTTAGTAAATTTGCGGATGACACCAAAGTCGGTGGAGTTGTGGATAGTGCGCAAGGATGTTGCAGGTTACAGAGGGATATAGATAAGCTGCAGAGCTGGGCTGAGAGGTGGCAAATGGAGTTTAATGTGGAAAAGTGTGAGGTGATTCACTTTGGAAGGAGTAACAGGAATACAGAGTACTGGGCTAATGGTAAGATTCTTGGTAGTGTGGATGAGCAGAAAGATCTCTGTGTCCATGTGCATAGATCACTGAAAGTTGCCACCCAGGTTGATAGCGTTGTTAAGAAGGCGTACAGTATGTTAGGTTTTATTGTAGAGGGATTGAGTTTCGGAGCCATGAGGTCATGTTGCAGCTGTACAAAACTCTGGTGCGGCCGCACTTGGAGTATTGCGTACAGTTCTGGTCACCGCATTATAGGAAGGATGTGGAAGCATTGGAAAGGGTGCAGAGGAGATTTACCAGGATGTTGCCTGGTATGGAGGGAAGGTCTTATGAGGAAAGGCTGAGGGACTTGAGGCTGTTTTCGTTAGAGAGAAGAAGGTTAAGAGGTGACTTAATAGAGACATACAAGATGATCAGAGGATTAGATAGGGTGGACAGTGGGAGCCTTTTTCCTCGGATGGTGATG